GGGAGCACGTGTTGGTCACAGCCTTGAAGCGACCTTAAAAGGGGGGGGGAAGGAGGGTGTGATCTCATGTTGGAGGGGGGAAAGCCCCAAGTAGGTGGGGGGGTCATGAGTGACACTGGGTGGGAGGGGAGTGAGTCCTAAAAAAACTTCATGTGAGGGTAGGGGGGGGGTCTCCACTTGGCGGGGGCTTCCTGAAAAGACCCCAATGGGGGAATGGAGGTGGGGCGGGGGGCGGACAGTCTGGGGGTCCCAAAGTCACCCCATGGGTGGGAGGGGGAGTTCCTCATGATGGGGGGGAGGGAAATCTCCAAGTGACTCCCTAGGGGGGTGTAGGACCCAAAATGATCCATGGGGAGGTGGGGGATCTGAAAGTGACCACATGGAGGGGGGGAGTAACCCCATGGGGGGGTGTCCCCAAACTGGTCCCGTGGGGGGTTGGGGTTCCTTTAAATGACTCCATATAAGGGGGGGCTGCCCCAAATTAACCCCATTGGAAGGGTTGGGAGTCCATGGGTGGGGGGCTTCCACGGTTGCCCCCCTCGCCCCCCCTTCCTCCCGCCGCTCACCCTGCAGTTTCCCCCCGAAGACTTCCGGGGGCGCCCTGTAAAGGCCGCCGCTCCTCCACCACTCGGCGCTTCCGGTCACGTGACACCGCGGGGCGCGGGCCACAATGGCGACGGCGGCTCCCAGCATCCCCAGCCATCCCAACCAGAACGCCGCCAGCAGCGCCGCCCGAGCCCGGGTCCAACCCGGCGCCGCGGCCGCCCGGAGCAGCTCCTCCTTGCCCAGCCCAGTGAACTTCGGCCCCGCCGCCTCGCCGGTCCCAGCGGCCTTCACCAAGCCGTTCTTCTCCGGGCCGGCCGCGCCGCTCTCCGGGGAGGCCATGGGCTGTTTTTCGGCTTCTAAGGCGGAAAGCTCCACGTCGCGGGGAGCGGCTTCGACGTCCGCGTCCATTTCTAAGGGAGTTTTAGCAGAAAAATATCGCAGGCAAAACACCGGAACGCGCCGCCGCGCTTCTGAGAGGAGGGCGAGCAGTGCAGCCGTTATATAACCGATGTCAGCCCACCCCCCGTCGCACTGGTGTCTGATTGGTCAGATCGACTGCCTGGAGCCCTGGCTTCCGGTCACGCGCCCGCATTGCATCAGTCTGTTGTGTGACCACGCCCACATCCGGTCGCGCAAACGGACTTCCGGTTACGGCCCCGCGCGCAGCCGTAACTGAGTGGCCGCGCCTCACTTCCGATTGTGCTCTGAATTTCGGCCACGGACGCTCTAGCATTGAATAGAAACCGATTGGTCACGCTCGCTTCCGATCATGCCCCAACGTTGCATCCCATCGACGGGATGCCATTCAGAGGGACCTCGAGAGGCTAGAAAGGTGGGCCCGGGTGAACCTGATGAGGTTCAACACGGCAAAGTGCAGAGTTCTGCACTTGGGCTGGAGGAATCCCAAGCATCCCTACAGACTGGAAGGAGCGGTCCTTGAGAGCAGCCCTGCGGAGAAGGACCTGGGGATCTTGGTAGACGAAAAACTTAACATGAGCCAGCAGTGTGCCCTTGCGGCTCGGAAGGCAAATGGGATCCTG